ACTGCAGAATCAACCAGATTTCCAGTAGAGTCTGGCCCCCAGCAGCTCCCACTGGCAACAAAAAAAACTCAAACAAACTACATGGCGAGAGCCCTTTCAAAGGACCCATCTGCCAGGAGTGTGCTAGGCAGACTGTCTCCCCAGATTTTGGCCCCAGCATTGAACAATACATTGAAATCCTTATTCACTACATATATTGTCACTGAATGGCTCAACAGGATAATTCAGAGGGATGTACCCTCATTCCTGAAAATGTGAAATCTTACAACATAAATAAAGCAAGTGTACTAATTGTGACAGTATTGTTACAGAGCAGATCTCAGCATTCTTTACAACAAAGGTCCATTTCATTATCTCCATTTTACAGACAGGGAAACTCAGGTACAGGCAGGTAAAGTGACCTGCCCAAGGTCATTCAGCAAAGCAAGGGTAGAGCCTCGAATAGGAGATCCAGTTTCCAAGTCAGTGAGGCCACAAACAAGAGAACTCCAGCGACAGCTACGATTATCACAGAAATTTAGACTGGCACTTCTCTATAGTTGCCACAATAACATTTCACTGTGTTTACCGTCCAATGCATTATGCTTGCTTGCCCTTACTCCCTACAACAATATGTTCTCACATAGGAATTTCCTAAAGTACACGAAAGTTGGCTGTAGTGCTACATTGGTGTGGTGTCAATTACTTTTGCTCGCAGGATTCATTCTGTGTGATTCTTTCCTGATGAGCTTGTAATGTATTAATGAAATGATTTCAACTCCCCATAAAAGAGAGCAAGTTACTCATAAAGCAAGAGCACATTATTTCACCAGGAAAAGAAAATCCATTCTTAGATACACTTTCATTTCTAAAAATTAGCATAACTCTACTACTATTCCAGAGACCGCTCGATTGAATTAGCCTATGTACTTTTAAACAGAATGCAACATGAATCCTAAAAGAAAAGAGCTGAAAATGGCAATAAAAAGTATTTAACACACGAAAGCGTGATGAGGGTGGGGAAAAAATGCAGTGCCTTTAAAAACAACGCACCCTGTAATCCCATGCTGCACGAATACTTGTCAATCAACACAGAACAGAAGGGCCCGAGTTATCAATCTGTTGTCTGACCTATTGAAATTGCCTTCAGCTGGTATTGCCAGCAAGTCTTATTTCTTAATGAAACACCCCAGTGTCCTGACAATTTGTAGGTAGACTGAAATATGCTGGTTTCTTTTCTCCCACTGTGTCGCCTTGTTTCTCGTGCCAGCTGATTTAGAAGGTCAGTCGCTCAAGTCCCCCATCTAATGGGCGGATGAAATGCAGGGGAATGAGAACTGACTTTTTAAAATGGCAATACTTGCAAGGAGGAAAAGAAAGCAGGGTGGGCAGAGGTAGTAAATTTCAGCACACAAGACCTTTCCCCTTCAAAATCTTTAAAAAAACCCCCAAAAACAAAAAAGAAAAAGGATATAAAGGACCCCATTCCTGATGCCTTAATTCAGCATTTCTCAACCTTCTCTGGTTGGCCACCTGTTACTGGACCATTTGTCCAAAATTGTCACAACTTCCTTACCATGATGGTCATGATGGGCCTATATTAACCGACATGAATGCATTTCTCTGTGAAATCAAGGGGCTCACAAAGAATTTCAGACCTTTTAGGATTAGGGGTGTAGAAGAGCAGTGTGTGTGGCAAGTAAGTAAGTAATGCAGTTTAGACTGTAATGCACTTTTCAGTGCTATTCAATAACCCTGACTGCCTTTTGTGATGCCCACCGAGAGCTTAACCCGCTGACTGAGAAGCAACGTTTCCCAAAGATCAGCATTGGTAGTGGAAGAAGCATTTCATTGACCAAATCCTGCAGCTTCCAACTGTGATTTGCTGAAAGGAGATGCAATAAATTTGGCTGATGGGATCATCACTATAAAGCCTTAATTGGCCAGCTCTGTCGATGTCAATTAAAAGCTTATACTGGGGTCTCTTTTGGAGCCATAGTGACTTTCTGCACCTTGTTTAAAATATCCCATTTGTTCAGTCACACTAAGTGTCTGTGACAGTGCCTGGAAACCTGAATTGTATTTTGTGGTACATTCAAAATTCTCAACAAGCAAATCTTCTATAATTGGTAGCTTTATAGGCCACAATCAATTGTCTTATCTTTGTACAGCAAAACTACTTTTTTATTTCAGTTCAACATGTTCTCTATAGGAGGTTATTTTGATGGGAGACTGTAATTAGAACTGCAGTGAACCATTTGAGATTTGAAAGGTTGAAAACATTATCCTCCTGGGATGCTTTGCTTTGAGAGCTTTTTGGCTGGGAGCCAGGTCTAAGTTTCCTTGATCTCAATTGGGTGATTTCACCTCAAAAACTTTACAGAAAGCAACTACTAACTTGGGCCTTGGTTCTGATTTCAGATGCATGTTTAATTCTCCTGCCTCTAATGAGAGTCTCAAGAGCGCTTTCCAAGGCATCTGTTACCTTGGCATATACAAAATGAAGATGAAAATTAAATTCTATGGGAATGTTTACCAAAGCTAAAGGAAAAATCAAAGGGATACGGTAGAAGGAAAGATGTCTTGCTGAGTAGGAATGTTGGAAGGATTGTCATTCACTCAGAAATCTTGCCGCTCTCCCCCTACCCTCACACCAGAAGCACTGCTATTTGGAGATGGAGTGTAACTGTGACTATTAGGGCTATGCAAAGCTTTGGTCCCCGATTTGTTTTGGCGGCGATTCGTCCCAATTTGGTGGCTGAAATCTCCGAATCTGAATCGAATCAGAGGACCCTTTAATCGCTCCGAATCGAATCGGAACCCTCCGAAACAATTTGGAGCGATTCGAAAAGATTCGGCGATTCGGACATAGAGACAGTTTTAAATGTTTTTTCTACATATCTCTAGGCACCAGGTGGCTCATGAACACTGATATGCTGGGGTGCATGGTGTGTCCCACAGAATGTGGGGGGCTCCCCAGCACATTTGGCAGCAGACCAGAAACCCTTCCAGTCCACTTCCCGGTCCGCCAGGGAGCATGCTGTGGGGCCCCCCCACATGCCCTCCTGGCTCAGTGACTGGTGCCTCCTGGGTTGGGGGGGCACCAGGGGTCCCTCCGCAGCTGATCACTGAGCCGGGGGCGGCACAGGGGGTCCCCCTGCACACTCCCCCGAGGAACCGGAAGAACTTCTGGTCCACTTCCAGGTTTGCTGCCAAGCACATGGAGGGCCCCCCCCACACTCCTGTGAGACACTCCATCCGCTTCAGTATCACAGCATTCACAAGCCGCACTGGTACCTTGAAGTATGAAGAAAAAACATTAAAAGCTGTGTCTGTGTCCAAATCGCTGATTCTCCAAATCAGCATTGAATCTTCAGATTCAGCCGAATCAAATCGGGGACAGTGATCCAAATCAACGAATCGAATCCCTGTCCCTAATTTGGGCTGAATCCAAATCGAGTAAGGCCCTGCTTCTCACACCCCTAGTGACTATGGACTTCCACATTAAAAGAAACTATAGCAGAGACCCAAGCCAGGATCTAATGTTAGACACTGCCCAAACTCAGACATTATCCTTGTTTAAGAAAGTTCACAAATGAGGGTCCTGGATGAAAAGGGAGATGCTTAGTAATGGTTTATAAAGCTTATTTACAGATCTTGGCTACAGACAGGAATTACACATAAACTGGTATAAGTGAACAGAAACTGGTTCAAATCTGTAATGCAACAGAAGTTCAGTGCATATGAACTGCTTTCAAAATAGCTGGAACTGATTTAAGATAAACCTGGATGAATGTAGTATCAGAAATAACTAAATTTAGGTTACACTGGTTTAATGAACTTTTGTCCCAGATCCCATCAAGATTCAAGCCAACTCACAGTCCCCCAGCATCCCAGAATGCTTTGTACCTCCCCTGCAAACCCCTCCCCCTCACAGGGTGGACAGCCTAGACTTGGTCCAAGCTGTCTGCTCCAGCTGAGGAGGGAAGCGTGCTCTAGTGTACCCCAGCTTCTGGCCTGAGCTACTGCAGGCATATAGCTGCATTTCTGGAATCAAAAGGGTATGTCTTTTCACTTGCTTATCAGTTCAATCTATGCAGTTTAGACCAACCTGCAAAACTTGAATCGATTCAGCTTTGGGTTTTTTGACGGTCTGTATTTAGCCATAAAATACAACTGTTACTCTCATGTTTTTAGAATCAGTTAGCTCCAGGGAATACTCTGCTCAGGGACCCAAATTCCAGCCCCAGCTTCAACCCTGATATATTACGGGCACTTTTACACATGCTTCAGCATTGGTGTGGGGGGGGGGGGCGCTTTAATTAGAGCGACTCCAAGAGCTACTCTAATTAAAGCAACACTGTGTCTCCTGTATCAGTGTCCCCATGCTTAAAAATAGTGGTGAGGGCACTTGAACTAAAGCTTGTTCAATGAGCTCTACATGCTGATACATGAGACAGGAGGCTGCTGGAGTGCAGCAACTGCTACACTCCAGCAGACTCCATTAATCGAGTTTGTTCCTACACGCTGGAACTCCAGTGCATCAGAGCAGCCTCCTCACTTGTGTATAGGTGTCCTATGTGACCTCAGCTATGTGACTTTACTGCCCGCTCTCAGACTGAGTGCCACTCAGGCCAGGAGCCCCCTCTATTTGAGATGCTAATATGCAAAACAGCTTTCATAGAGTTAGTTCTAATTTATACTTCGGTAACTCAAAAAACAAATCTGGACCTCACTCTTTACCCACAATACATAACTCCATTACACTTGAGAAGGTATTCTAACAAGGGCTGCGTGACTTTCTACTAAACGGCTCTTTCACAGATTTAGCCTTCTCTTTGCCTTCTGACAGACAAAAGTTGTCTAACAGAACATTATGGATTGCACATGTACTTAGATAGGTTTCAAGGTAGATGAGGAGTGAAGTCAGGAACGTATCTGTTCACACACAAATGTGAACTCTTCTTTTGTCCAGGCATTTGTTTTCAAATATTCAGTTTTGCTCATTTGTACTCTCATACCTTTCCTGCAGCAGCACACAAAGCAAGACGGTCGTCTGGAAGAAGCGGAAGAGAACTGAACTCCACATAGTTAGGGATCACATAATCTCCTAAATCAAGAAATGTCCAAAAGGAGGCCTCGTGTAGAATCAGTATCCTGTCATTAGGTAAGGAAAAGTAAAAAACAACATCAATAGTCCCTGTCTCTCTCTCACCCACATCCATGATACTTTAAGTATTATATGGCAATAAAATTCTTCTATTGTCTAGGTGCACTCAAGAGTAAGAGACAACTGAGGCTCATATCAGAAAACTACATTCTCAGTTTAAAATACACCAAACCTAGCACCATAAACACAGGTCAAATATTTGTATTTGTCAATGTGTTATTTTCTTAAAAACAGGCATATAAGAAAATGCGTTTTAGGGAGAGAATTTGAAAAAGTGAAGAAGGTCCAAAATAAAAATCAACAGAAAATAATAAAGTAGCCTGACATCTATTGTGAAGTGCAAAGAAAAGTACACTTTACCCAGTGTGCCACTGTCAAACTTAAATGTAGAAAGATGATAGCAAAAGGAGCAAGGATGACAAAATTTGACTTTCATTAGATGCAAAATTTAGCTTTATTAGTGTAAACCTGGAGTACGACTTGATTCATTTACACAGCAGGTTGTCACATACTGTGTATGATTAAATACCAAAGTAGGTGTGGTTGTTTAGTCTCAAAACATGCAATCTTGTGAGAACAGGCTTTTAAAACTGCCCATAATTAGAAAGGTAACTGAAAAAGGCTGCACAATTAGTATCTTCAGTGGTATTTCTGCTTCCAATCAAAGGGGTGAGAATAACGGGAAAAATTAAGACCTCTCACTCTTTGGTAGAAAACATGAAAACCAGGGAAAATATTTTCAGTGAATAATTTAATTTGCCAAAAACATGCACTTTAGGGATGGGGCAAAATTTTGTGAATTTGGGTCATATCAAGTTACTCATTTTGGATCAAAAAAAAGTGTGCGGGTGGGGGAGGATTTTCAAAATGTCAAAATCATTTGTTTTACTGTTGTTGGAACACAATGTTTCAACTTTCCTTTTGAAATGTATTTTCATCTCAAAGTAAAAAAAACAAAACAAAACTCTGGAGTCAACTAGAAACAAAAATCTATTATTTAGGCATCTCTGTTGAGCATCTGCAGCTCCATTGACTTCAAAGGAAGTAGATGAATTAGGCCATAAGTCCAACCAAATTGAAGAATAGTTATTAGCCAAACCTCATGTCTAATTAGGGACTCCTCATTTATTGAAAGCTACCCTTTCCTGCATGTGGTTTGGGGTCACTGAGAGGCTAGCAAGAAACAGTTTACAACCATATTCTTTTACGCAGCCAGAAGCATTTATATAGTAGGAATAAAATGCAGGTCTTTAAAATGATGAAACATCTTCAGAAAGAAGTGTAAATGACAGCAAGCCTCCAGAGAGAACTTTAATCCTCAAGCTTAGAAATCTCCTGTATACTTTTTTCCCCCTATATCCCATTAATTTTTAAACTAGAGTAAAGATGAACTTACTCTGTTTTGGCAATGCTGGCTTACAAACTCTTCTGAGAAAACTGTCTAGGGAGACAAGTAGGAAAGAAAAGATGCTCTGCCATGCTGGGACTTGGGGCAATGCGAATCTGTCTGATGTTTAATATAAATCCAAAACAAATGCAACGCCATTCGCTTATCAGTTGTGATGGTTTAAATATCGTCAATGGTATTTTCAAGACCTCTTGACACACGGGCTATCCATTCTGAACTGTCACACACTGGTATTAAAATGTTCTGAATACTATCAGTAGGAGAGTTCCCTTTAATATTATTAAATCCACCAGATTGAATAATTAATACTTTTTACAGCCCCCAAGGTCTTGTCTCCACATAGAAATTGAATTGGTTTAATTTAAATAATTTTAGGACATGAACATATAAGAACCAGGACAGGGTTTTACAGTGTACCAGCTTTGTGCGAGACCTGTCTCTGTACATACTCTTACTCTGTGGTGAATGCAAGCTAGTATGTAGCAGCATATGCTGCTTTCAATGTAGGCTAAGCCACCATGGGTTAGTTTTGATTTACCATGGGGCAGGAGGATGCACACAGACAGTAACTGGAGAGAAGATGGCATGCTGTTAAGTCCCAAAAACTCACCAAAGGGCAGCATCTGGATGAGATCAAAAGCTTGAATAATGGGGAAGAACGATTCAAACTTTCCATTTTGTTTTGTTTTTTTTACCAAAGGTCTAAAAGCTCTAATTTTTACCATCTTCCCTTTCTGAGTCATTTTATTACTGTAAGACCTTCTTATTTAAATGCAATATTAATGCAGAAGCAGGTTTCATAAGCCAGGCTGCCTTTGCATTGCCACCTTCATTCAAGCCCTTCATAAAATTCAGGAATGCACTGAAGAAATATTAGGTCACAAATGGATTTCCCATTTAGAAATGTAGGATCTGGAAAAAATTATAGTATCTAATACTGGGACTCCTGCCCATACAGAGTTTCCCTCCCTGCGACACCCCATCCTTGCAGAATTCTAATGCAAGTGAAGGTGAGAACCAGACAACTTCACCATGAAAAGGGTCTCTCTCTCTTGTAGAAAAATGTAGAGATTCAGCCCTGTTTGGCTACTTGTGCTCAGCATACTGGAAAAAATGCTTCTCTAGACCAGTAGTCTCCAAAGTGGGGTGCGCAAGACAATCCACTGGGGTGTGGGAAGAAAATATTAGAACTTCTATTTATATTTATATGGAGACCACTGGTTTATTTCATCTTTATCTCATCCTTTTTTAATTTCTATTTTTGTGTATGTTTTATAACATACATAATATATTAGTACAGTAGTACATGTACATAATTTATAAATAAATACATATACATATATTGGGGGTGCATGCTCAAAAATGTTTTGCTGACAAGGGTGCGCAATCAAAAGAGTTTGGAGACCACTGCTCTAGACCATACAACTTCTCTGAAGCTGTCTTTCATTGCCAAAAAGACCACAGGCACTGCCAAACTAGATTGAAATGTTGCCTATTGACAATGCTTACTGAAATACTAAAAAGAAAGTTAACTTTCTGTCCACATTTTAATGAAGATAAAAAATGCAAGTGCAGATCTGATTTTCTATTACTATCAATCAAGTTGGTAAACTCAACAAGTGATAACTCAACAAGTGATATGCTCAGAAAACATATCTTCTATCCAAATCAGGGCAAATAAAAAGCTTTTATGAATTTTTTCTCATGACAAAATTCCAAAAAAAGGGGGTCAATTAAAATGCATCATTTTACTACATTAGATGCATTTCATTTCAATTTCAACATTTTTAATACAAACATTTCAAAGAGTCGTCATATGAACAAATATTTTGACTAAAATATTTAAATGGGATGTTATCAAACACACCTCCAATATTTTTTCAGAGAAGAGTTTTGTCAATTTTGATAAGATTTCATGAAACTAATCTGTTTTCTCATCATTACAGTGCATTTTCTACCAAAAAATGGTTTTAAGGAAATTTTTCTGCTTGGTTCAGCTCAGAACTCTGCGGATTGACGTTTCCAGAGCAGCTAGTCTCTGTTATTTTAACCATTCAAGTACTCATTCGGTTTGAAAATTCAGAGCAAGATTTTGAATTTTTAACTTCAAAAATCTTTTAACTTGCACATGATTGCAGATCTGCCTGATATAGAAACAGTCAAGACAGGTCTTCCCAGGGTAGACTACATCAAATGACTGACATGTACCAGCATGTGTGGTCAAGTGTTGCATTCTAAAATAACCTAAGTTTGACATTTTCAAAGCAAAGCACAGTATTAAATGTAAAAGGGACTAAATTAAGGTAATTAAGTCTCAAAACTACTGACCAAGAAACCCAACTGGTTAGGAAATACCAATTATTTCATCATCCTGGCAGATAGGGTAGTAACTCCTTCAATGACAGCATAGTCCAGGCCAGGCCTTCAAAATACACTAAATATTACAGCAGATGTTTAAAGTCACAGTTCAAGAAAGCACCGGGATCCCTCAGTGTTGAGGCAGGAAAAAAAAACCCCAAACCCCTTTGTGATCATTATAAGCAAAGTTCCATCTCTTTACCACAGTGGGAAAGAAAGATTTAAAACAACCCACTTCTGTCCATAATATGGTTTATAGCAAGCAAGCCATAAATAGCCAAACAGAGGAATATAGAGCAAGACTAGGTTGTTGCAGGTTACTGCCTTGGAGGAAGGTCCTTGCCACACCTCACAGTGCTGCTGGCATACATCTTTGTAGTAGTTTCTCATGAGAAGTTGCGTGTGATGTACAATTTTGTAGAAGATGAAAAGGATGAAACCTGATGAGAGAGGTCTGCTGCGTGGGAGGAAGGAACAGCCTAGAAGTGGTCCTAATGTATAATTAAACCACTAGTATTCCCACACGATGAAATATTATGGACAAGCATACAGATGTACTGCTTTATAATTTAGTGTGTTTTTGAACACTAAGAGTAAAAAAGGAACATGAAAGCCTGAGATCAGACCTGGTACCCAACACGGATCGACACCAAACATTAAGCAGGAAATGAAGTTACACCCAAAATTTTACAAAGAGGCAATCCATTTTAGGTACCATGAATGAGTGATACCGTGCATGAGTGATTTGAAAAGGACATGATTTTCAGCGCACAGGCACTCAACACTTTTTGGCACTTCCAGAATCGAATATAAGATCCTTCTAAGTCAAGTAACCAATACATGGAGGCAACCTAAGTAACGGATACATTTCTAGAAATATTGGGTTTTTTATCTGACTTTATTTATATGGATTAATTCAAGGACAGCATGCTCATGTTCTTCCATAATTGTCTAGTAATTTGTTTGCAAAGCCAAATTATCACTACAGCTCATTCTGTACTTTAACTTGTAAATGCAAATTCAACCAAGGTCACAAAATGGACAACTTCAGTAACAGGTATCCCAGCAGATTGAATCAGAGCAGCCATACTGTCTATCAAACGTGACAGAACTGAAGGCAACTTGGTATCAGCTACCTTCTTACCACATGAGGCTTAAGGAGATTGCCAACATTTAAATTGCAATCCGGGCAGGAGTACAATGTCAAAGTGCTAGAGTCAAG